CTGGAGCTTCGTCAAATTGATGCTGGTGGTGGTCGCGGAAATCGGGGGAGGAGATTGATTGGAAAACAGTCCGATGATCCTCATCCTCTTCAAGGAGCTATGCCGCTGTTGTTTGAGCAGCCTCGTGCGGAGCTAGCTGGACCTGCCCTTATCAAGATGCGGGCAGGGGGGGAGACTATTGGAGGTACTATTGGAGGTGAAAATCAAAAAGAAAAAGAAAAAGTTTTTGACCCAAAATCCTCCTTGTCTTCCTCAACTGCGTCCCCCTCGAGTGGCTCTGACTGTGGCATGGTGGAGTGTTCAAACTGTGGTCTTCGCCAACCGCTTCAATGTGGGCATTTTGGGGACTACGAGATTGTGGATGAGGCCGCTGTGAAGGCCTTGAAGGTTTCTGAGGGGTTCGACGCTTCAAAGAATGTGGAGGTCCAAAAACCCTTTGCAGTGTCTGAGTATGTCGGGGTGGCTGAATACTCCGATGATGATGAACATGGTGGCAACTGTGGTTTCTGTGGTGAGCGGTTGGAGTTGGGCTTTCCTGGAGAGATGGTAGTTCCGGGGGAGCACACTGAGCCTCTTCAACACTGCTCTTGGGCCGAGGCTGAGTTGTTCCATGAGATCGAGGTGGAGGAGCACGGGGCGTTGAAGTCTCTGTGGATGGAGGAGCTTCGGAAGGTGGCTGTCGGTGAAGATGAAGGGATGAAACAGGGCCGGGTCTTAGAAGAGCTTGAGACGGAGCTGGTGATCCGAGAAGCCCACCTGGAGGAGCAGCATCTTTGTCTTCATCAACATCGGTTGGCATCATTGTCTTTGCCAACACCTTCAACCGATGGGCCTCCTGCAGAGCTTCCTCAACCAGTTCTTCAAACCTATACGGTCCCCTTGCAGCAGGTCAAACGAGATTTGGATGCTTGGGTGCCTGCCTTGAAGGCAGAATATAGTTCTCTGACGGGAACGGGGGCAATCCGCCCAACAACGGATGCAGAGCTTCGCAAAAATCCTCTGTATCACACCATGGAGTTGGCCCCAGCGATGCTTGTTCCAACAATTAAGGCTCCAAATGGGCGCAAGAAGGCTCGGGTGGTGGTGTGTGGAAATCGTCTTGAACGAGTTGGTCCTGGTGATGATGGTCCGGCTGCTGATGGTCCACAACCCTCCACTTCGCCTTGCAGCACATATGCCGGGGGGGCCGATGGAGCATTGCTGCGGTGCTTGGTAAAGAAGGCATCCTGTGAGAACTGGGGTGTGGCCAGCTTAGATGTGGCTACAGCCTTTTTGTTGGCACCAAGGAGGGAATCAGAACGCCAGCTCCTGGTGATGAAGCCTCCAAAGGTTTTGGTCGATGCCGGAGTTTGTGGCAGTGACGAACTTTGGCAAATCCAGCATGCAATGTATGGACTCACCTCTTCGCCGTCGGATTGGGGACACTATCGAAACTCGGTGTTGTCCAAGCTTCAATGGAACCTGGAGGGAGCTGGATATCAACTGATTCAAACGCCTGAGCCGAACCTGTGGAAGGTGGTCCTCAAGGAGAACTCAATGGTCAAACAGTCCTATGAGGATCTGGATCGAGCCTATGGCTTTGTGGCCCTCTATGTGGACGACGTCCTGGCTGTTGGCGAGGTCGGGGTCATGACTGGGTTCTTGGAGGAGGTTCAGCGAACATGGAAGTGCTCCAGTCCAGAATGGGTGAAGGAGGGTGAGTGGTCCAAGTTTTGTGGGTACGAGTTCACCAAGAAGGAGAACGCTATCCTCTTGTCTCAGAGGTCTTACATAAGGGATTTGCTCAGTCGCTATGAGGACTTGGTGCCAAAGTCAACGCCACTCCCAGGCACGTTGGATGAGACGCCTGAGGAGAATGTGCAAATCTCTGATGTCCGTGCAGCACAGACTTTGGTAGGAGAACTCCTTTGGGCCGCTTGTAGATCCAGACCTGACTTGAGCTTTGCAACGTCATGGCTGGGCAGGCATGTTACAAGGTGCCCTCGTAGGGTGCTCTCCTTGGGCCGTCACACTTTGGGCTATCTGAGTGCAACAGCCGATATGAGCTTGGCATACGACCGCAACATGCTCACCTTGGAGGTCTTCAGCGATGCGGCTATGGGTGCTCAGTGCCAACGTGGTCATCAAGGCTTGGTGGGTTCACCGGTGCAGTGGGACTCGCGGCAACAGCCATTTTGTGTGCTCAGTACAACGGAGTCTGAGCTTTTGGGCTACTGCGATGGTCTGGTGCTTGGTGAATCAATTTCATCAATCGTGGAGATCTTGGAGAACAACCAGCTGTGTGAAAAAGGTGAACGAGTGCTGTATGGGGACAGCATGTCGGGTTTGAAGCTTCTGGAGGCTCCGGATGGGCCTTGAAGCAACTTGGCGCACCCGACATCTTCGCCTTCGAAGTTATGTTCTCCGTGAACGTCTTCAATGGGGTCTTTGGAAGGCGCGGCATCTTCCTGGCAGCGAGCTGGCCTCAGACCTGCTGACGAAGCCGGTCACTTCACCTTCGGCTTGGCAGAAGTTCTATGACTTCATGGGCATGGTGGTCAATGCTGGTCAAAAGCTGGAGGGTGATGGAGTGGAGCCAAAGAGCTCTGCTCGTAGTGGTTTAGCTGGCGCAATAGCTGCGGTCAGTGGCTTGGTAGGTTTGGCAGCTTGTGAGCCGACATGTGAAACGGCCAAGGTAGCTAGGTTGATGGCCATCACGGCCTTGGTAGCTCACTTAGCTTTGAAATGCACCCCATGGATAGGAGGTGAAAAAGATCCCAAAAAAGCTGGGCCAAAGGCCATTGGGCGCCCTACGGCAGACTTGCGGGAAGGGACACCCACAGAGCAGGCTGTCGAAAAAAGAAAGGGTCTGAGGGAACATGAACCCAGGCCAGTCAAAGGTGATGCCAGGGAAAATGAACCGGCATTGCAACATGAAGTGAGGGACCATGAACCCACTTCATCCTGTAGCCCCGAGGGCTCCCCGGTTGCTCCGCGCTTGTGTGCTGTTCGGGCACCGCCGCTTGGGCCGACGCCATGGGAGTCTGCGGAGTTCAACCAGCCGCCATACGCGGCAAATGATGACTTGTGGATCAGCCTCAATGGTGGATGGGTGGTGAGGGTTCATCGGTCGCTGAGAAGCCGGTTGTTCCACCCGATCCACCGCAGCTGTCCGGTCAGAATTGAAGATTTGCAGGCCAGAAGAATCTCGGTCATCTGGTGGTCAGGGCCTCGAGGCTGGGAACGAGCTGTGCAGGAGGATCAGTGGTTCCATGGCCAAGTGCCGCCGCAGCCCCCGGTGACGGGTCAATGGAGAGGGTGGACTTTCTTTCGCATCGAAGAAAGTCCTCAAAATGGACACAATTCCTCGAGTGTGACCCGCATACAACCTGATGTGTTGGTGTGGACGCCTGACAACGAGCGGGCGTGGAACATGCCGAGGCAACTGGGAAGGTCTTCGGGAAGTGGAAGAAGAGCTCAAGTTGATGCCATCGGTCGTGGTGCAACAGCCTTTGCATCGATGGGGACTGGACAGGTCTCACGTGAGACTAGCTCTGTGGGAAGCTGGTCTGTGGCTGGTGGCTACAGAGGCCCACCTTCGTCCACGGCTTCGGCATCATCGGCGGCTCCGGCTGTGAGGCCAACTGGTTCTTTGGATGGATCCTCGAGCTCTTCAGCGATGTGGGGGCCTACCAGGAGCTCTTTGAGGCGCACTGTTTTCCCTCCAGGGACTCAGGTGTACCAACGGACACCAGCCCCTGTGAATCGATGGAATGATGGGCCAACATTGAGCGTCCGCGAAGGAGAGTCTGTCCGGGAAGCCACACTTCGGGCCTTGCAGGCACCACTCCCTCCAGACCTTCACCCTGGACGTCCTCGAGAGGATCCAACGGGCCGCAGAACCCGATATCTGCGATCGAACCGCTCTGATGTCAGCGATGGGATGCTCTGGGACTTCCTCCATGGAGCTACTGTGGAAGGAGGAACGGATGAGGACCAGTACTACGAGGAGGCAGTGGAATCCGAGGAGGAGACCAGTGATGGCAGCTTCTCCGTGGTGACTGATCAACCTCAACATGCTGGTGTTCCGAGCCCAGAAGACGAGTCAGCTGACATGTGAGCCGCTCTTAGCTCTCTTTTTTGGAATGGCTCGAAGCAGCCAATGGAATTTTTCCTGGCACTCCTTTTGGCCATAGGCCGACTTGGCACTTGCTTGGTTGCTGTGGAACAGCAAGGGGGAGTGTGGATGGAACAGTCGTCCTACACTTGGAATCGAGAAGTGTAACAAGTTTTCTTTTGGAGTTGAGAAGAATAGCATGGCCCCTGCGCATTCATTTGTTGCAGCATGGCCACCTTTGCCAAGGATGACGCACACAAATCCCTTGGACATTCATGGCTCAAGAAAAATAGGAGCGGTGCAGCTCACTGGCGCGGTACCTGTGCCTTCACACATTTGAATCTATTTTCAACTGATTTTCCTTTTAAATCTAAAAACAATCGCCTCAAAAGTTTTTGTGCACAATAGGGTACCATCCAAACAATTACATTATTGAGGATCTGGGTCACTCATGGGGTACCCGCTTGAAAAATTGTTTGGGTGCTGTTTTTAAATAAGGGTTTAATAAGGCATCTAATTATTTGGGGAAGCTTGCATTTTCAAGGCTTCAACATGGATATGGTTTTCTAAAGTAAATGGACCAGCTTTACCCAAAGAAAGGTGTATAAATGTGGACAAAGCTCCTCCTGAAAAAAATGGATCTGAGAATAAATATCTCACAGTAGAGGCCCACCAACCATGTACAGGATACTCAATAATTTTTGAAAAACAAACTCACAATAGAGGCCCAGGACACTAATCGGTATCCAACATTAACCATCATTAACCATATATGTATATATATATATATGCACATATAATATATATATATATACATATATATATATATAATATCATATAATATTGATTACTATTAAGCATCATTAAGCATCATTAACAAAAACATCATCTCAGCCGTTGGCAGGCCCTGGCACTTCTGCGCGAGCTCGAGGACTTTCCGTCTCTAAAAGCCAATGTGGTCACCTACACGGCGGCCATGGCTGCCTGTGGCCGTGGGAGACAGTGGTCTCTTGGAGATATGTCATGGGGAGTTCAGGTATGGGGCTTAGCCATGGAAAATGGCCCATAGAAATAGATGGTTTACCTATCAAAAATGGTGATTTTCTATAGCTACGTTAAAAAACCAGAGGGTAACTTCTATTTTTTTTTAAAGCCCAAGAAAATCCTCCGAATCCTCCTGATCCAAAGCAACTTAAAAGATGGGGAAAAACCATGAAAAACCTGTGATGGAAAATAACTGAATTTAAGGCAGTGGAAACACACCGCAGAATTGAAGGGAAATTCCACAGGACAACTCTATATCTGGCGGCAAAGACCATTGAAGAATGGGGATTCAACTCGAGAATCAATCTGCCCAAAAATGAGGGTTTAGCCATCCAACATGGGACTTAACTAGTAAAATTTCTATTTGGCTTATATTCAAACACTGTCAGATAGAAAAGTCAAGATCATTTGATTTTTAAGGAGATGCTTTTACTGGACCGACAGACAGTGCGGCCTGATGTTGAAGGGTGCTCTACTGGACTGGACGAATTTGTTTTATGGGTATTCCATGGAATTCCCGATTTTCATCCACCCATCACCCATCTGATTCCCAACCATGGGTTGAAGGGAAAAAGGAGCAATGTTTGTGCAGTTTTTTTCTTTCTCTATATGGGGGTTTCCATAAATGGGGGATCCCCAATAGCTGGTTGGTTTATTTTTGGGGAAATCCGAGAAAAAATGGATGATTTTGGGGTACCCCGATTTTAGAGAACTAATTGCAATTTATAGAGATGCGTTTTTTTTCACAGGTGACTTGCATTTAAGTCATTTACACAGCACCAAAACTGCATGTGGCCCTTCGAAGGTCCGAAACCTTAGAACTCTTCGGTGAGATGAAGGACGGACCGCGACATGGGGCACCCATTAGCATAAACCATATATATATATACACACTATATAGTATATACTAATAATGTATATATATATGTATATATGGCTTATATTTACCCATATATATATATACCCATCGGATTCAGATTTGATTTCGTGCCACAAAAGTCTAAGTGTCCGAAGCCAAAGCAGAGAAAACTCTTCTGTGTTTTTTTTGCTTCTTGGTTCTTGATAGACCCATAGTTCACTCTCAGCACTCATGTTTGAACTGCAGGTTTGCTCTGCTTTGTGATGAATCGCCTTGGTTTGCTCCAGCAATTAACCTGGTGAATTAAACCAGCTTCGCCAACGACCGGGTCGCACCGGTAGACGCAGGACAGTGGCATTTCTCCCAGCGTGATCAGTTTCAATACTGCGATGGAAGCTTGGGTTTTTCTTCAGGTAAGAATCCACCACTGGGAATTTGCAGGGAATATGACTGGGAATCCACCACTATAGATTCCCCTATAGATTCCCCTATAGATTCCCCTATAGATTCCCCTGTAGATTCCACCATGATTGGGGAATAGGGGAATCCAGAGGGAATCGAGGGATGGGAATTCAACATGACTGGGGAAAATCTCGCCTCCGCCAATCAAACATGGCTGGCGGCAGGTTTATAGTTGGGAAAATCATCGAACCAAATGGTGGATTTTCCATTGCTATGTTTGAGTACCGAAGGGTAACCATCAAACAAGATTTATTCACCAAAAATGGTGGTTTAACGGTAGCAAAATGGGGCTTTAATCAACCATTTTGGGGAATTCGGATTTTTATTTCTTGCTTTTGGAGCGGTTCACATAGCAGCTCCAAGGAAGCCTGCGATGATCACTGGCAACATTCCTTGGCTTTGCTTCGGGACATGCGAAATCCCAACAGCTTCTTGGTGTCAGGGGATGCCCCACAAGCTGGGGATGCCCCACTTATTTGGTTTATAGCTCTACTTATCACAAAGCCATCTGCTTATTTTTTTTAAAATCCTAGTCTTGAACCAACTTTGAACCAACTTAGCCAACCACTTGGGGCACCAAATAGTAGGCATATGAAGTGAACCAAGCGTTTCCTGAGATATTTATCTTGCTGGATCTATGGGCTACATATCCATTCATACATTCATACATTCATTCATTCATACATTCATACATTCATACGTTCATACATTCATACATATACATTCATACATATATATATACACATGCACATACATATACATATATATTTATATATACACACATACATATACATATACATATATACATATATACATATATACAGACATACAGACAGACAGACAGACAGTCAGACAGACAGACAGACAGACAGACATACATACATACATACACACATACATACATACATACATGCATTGCATTACATTACATTACATTACATTGCATTACATTACAATACAATACAGCACAATACGAAAACAATACATTACATTACATTACATTACAATACAGTACAATACGAAAACAATACGTTACATTACATTACATTACAATACAATAGAATACAATACAACAATACATTACATTACATTACAATACATTACATTACATTACAATACATTACATTACATTACATTACAATACATTACATTACATTACATTTCATTACATTACATTACATTTCATTACATTACATTACATTACATTACATACATACATACATACATACATACATACATACATACATACATACATACATACATACATACATACATACATACATACATACATACATACATACATACATACATGTAATATATATCATATACAGTACATTATAGCTAGAAAAAAACGAGATATCCCCACAACTAACTTCCATTCTTTCTCCGTCTCCGAGGCTTCTCCTACAGCGCCTCCATGAGCTGCTGCGCTTTGGCCAACGCCTGGCCGGTGGCCTTGCAACTGCTGCAGGAGGCTGGGAGAAACACTCTGAAACTGTTCGTGAAAATGGAGGTATTTCATCGAACTGTTAGTTATTGAAAAAAGGAGGTGAAGTGAATATAGATAATGAAGATTCTGGCAACATTACGAAGTATAGATAAGAGTAGTGTTTTTTTTGGAAGGAATGTAGACCAACTGGTGTAGGTTAGATGGTCGCCCAAACACAAACATAAAAACACTATTCTGCTAGAATTCAATCGACGCAGGTTTTCAATGACCGCAATAGAGTAATTGATGCGTCTCACTTGTTGTGGGCTGAACCGGGAATAGTTCAAAGGTGCATGATCAAGACTTGTCCAGTTTTTTTGGTTTAATCTAGCTACAAAGTGTCCAAAACCCCTGTGTGGACAGTCACGACAGGCTTGTATGGTAGCTTGACGTGTTCTCTTATCAAAACATGAATCCAAAATAATCCAACATCTTGCGCGCTTGATGATCTTGATGTCAGGGCACCTTAATCAGGCCATTGCCATTGTTTTGATCTAAAAGACATCAGAATGATGAAGAATTCTTGTCGCAGGCGGACGAACGAGACTTTGAGGTTGGATGTGGGGAAGACTTGAGCGGAGTGCACGGAGAACGGGAGAAAGATCTCAGCACTGGTTGGTGCGCATCTTAAGCAGGGCACGTGACTGTTAAACCATATTAAACCACAATCAAGACAGATTACTCAGACATGCAAATTGTCTCAGATTTGTATCACATTGTCTGATTTGCGTGGAGAGCTTTTTGCAAGCTGAGCAAGGGGTACCACATTTTCACATTTTATCCCAGGGGGATTATCAGGTTCTCTATGAATCCCAATTGAAATGGCCATTGATTTGGGGGGTAAATTCATTAAAATTTCCCATTTGAAACGACCACAAACAAAGTGGCAGATTCGGGGCATCTCCTGCATGAGACAAGCCAAATCAGTTAAATCATTTCAATTCATTTAAATTCATTTAACATCTCCAGGTTTGCAGTTACATCAGTTCAATCAAGTTCAATCCCTCAGTTTTCCGTGGTAACATCAGTGAAATCCCAAGGTTTCTGGTGAAATCAAACACGACCCTAACAGGCTGAGGAGATGTTGGTGCTGCGGAATCTCTTGATCGGCGCCTGTGGTGAGGAGTGGAGACTTGCCGTTAGGGCAAGGACCATGGGGCCATCATTGAAAAAATATGAAAAAATGTGGTACACGAAGCCCCTGAATTGTCAATACTCAAATAGTCTAACTTGTTCTTATTTGGGGGTATATAACGGTAAATACATAAGTTACATATACGTATATATATATACTATATGAAATATAATATGTTACACATGATGTAGAATATGTAATAAATACTATTTACACCATAATATAAAATGCAAAATGATAAATCAATCATATATAATGAATAACAAATAATATAATTCATCATATATGATATATGACATATACTAAAAAACATAATATATGATATATATAATATGAAATAATATAAATAATATATAATATGATAAAATATCTATAATATATATATAATATAAATAATATATATGATATATATAATATATATAGTATATAATATATAATATATATATATAATTCAAAATATAAAATATAGAATATATGAATATATATATATTATATAATATAATATATATATATAATATAATATATATATAATATAATATATATATATATATAT